CATTTGAAAAACCTGAAAAGGAACAAAAACGTCAGAAAGCCAGTGTCCTGATGACAACAACGAATGTGTCTACAAATGAAAAGGCCACAGCTGCAACACAGATCAACAAAAAATCCAAACCCAACCTTTCCTCAACTCAGAATAAAAGGCAAATTGAATGCATCTGCTGCAGGCAAAATCACTTTATTTACAAATGTGACAAGTTTACAGCAATGTCTCTTGAAGAAAAGAAGCAGTTCATTATCGACAACAATATGTGCTTTGGTTGTCTTCGTGTTGGTCACATATCCAAGAACTGTCAACAAAGAGTAACATGTAATGTTTGTAAGCGGAAGCACCCTTCTCCTCTTCATGAAGATCATCCACAACCAGATAAGCCTGAGATGTTACCGAAAGAGGAAAATGCAGCCACTGTATCATGCAGTGTGAAATTGGACAACAGTGATTGCACTTCAATGATTGTCCCAGTTTGGCTTTCTTCTTCAACAAATAGACCAGAGACATTGGTTTATGCTTTGCTAGACACCCAAAGCAGCAATACATTTATTGATCAAAATGTTTGTGAAAAATTACAAGCAAGAACAGGACCCGTTAAATTAAAGCTGACAACCATAACTGACAGGTGTTCTATTGTGCCTAGTCAAAGAGTGGAAGGACTGAGAGTTAGAGGGTACCACTCACAAGAGTATATTGAATTGCCACCTACATATACTCGAGAATACATTCCACTTGAGAAAAACAGTATTCCAACTCGAGAGACTGCAAAAAAATGGCCCCACCTACTCAGCATTGCAAATGAAATGCCAGATCTCTTGGACTGTCCTGTAGCTCTCCTCATTGGTTATGACTGTACAAGAGCTCTAAAACCAAGGAAGGTCATACCAGGAGAGGATTATGATCCCTATGCAGTTAAAACAGACTTGGGATGGAGCATTGTGGGACCCATTAAGCCATGGACAGGTTCAGAGGGCGCAACTGGGACCTGCCATCGTGTAATAGTAAAGGAATTGCCATCTATTACACCTGCATCTGTGATTAAAGCACTTGAAGCTGATTTTCTGGACACTAACCCCAAAGAAGGGAACATATCTCAAGAGGACATTCAGTTTTTAGAGATGCTAAATGAAAACATTCACTACAATGAGCAAGGTCATTTAGAAATGCCTTTACCTTTTAAAGAACGTCCACAGCTTCCAAATAACAAGCAGCTTGCAACAGTTCGTCTGAAATATTTGAAAATGAAAATGGACAAGAACCCCAAGTACAAAGAAGATTACATAAAGTTCATGAATAATGTGTTTAAAGATGGTGATGCAGAGGAAGCAGAAGAAACACCACAGGATGGTAACACATGGTACATTCCACCCCACGGTGTGTATCACCCCAGAAAGCCAGAAAAAATTAGAGTTGTTTTTGACTGCTCTGCTAAACATGAAGACACCTCTTTAAATGACCACTTACTTACAGGCCCAGACTTGATCAATACTCTGGCAGGAGTATTGTGCAGATTCCGAGAGAACAGAATCGCAATAATGTGCGATGTGGAGAAAATGTTTCACCGCTTCCATGTTAATCCAGAGGATCGAGATTTCTTAAGGTTTTTGTGGTGGAAGGATGGAAATACAAATACTGAGCCAAAGGAATATCGCATGCGAGTGCATGTGTTTGGTGCAGCGTCATCGCCTGGATGTGCTAACTTTGGCATGAAACATCTCGCCAGAAGAAACGAAAAGGACTACCCACTGGCAGCCAGTTTCATTCACAAAAACTTTTATGTGGATGATGGGCTTCTCAGTGTTGAAACAGATAAGAAAGCCAAGCAGCTAGTCTGTGAAGCACTCAAACTCTGTGTTAAAGGGAAGTTGCGTTTGCACAAATTTGTGTGCAACAACAAAGAGGTCATGAGTGTTATTCCTGAAAGTGAACGAGCTGGCAACACTACGGATGTAAACATGAACTACTCTGAAGTTCCAATGAAAAGTGTGCTGGGAGTAAAATGGAATGTGGAAGCCGATGTGTTCACATTCAGTGGAGCCCTCAAAGAAAGGCCAGCCACACGCCAAGGAATTCTAGCAACAGTAGCAAGTGTGTATGACCCGTTAGGATTTCTTTCACCCTACACTTTGATAGGAAAACAAGTACTCCAGGAAATGTGCAAAAGTGGAGTTGGATGGGATGAACCTGTTCCTTCCGCACTGGAAACCAAGTGGAAAGCTTGGCTCTGTGACTTGGAAAATCTTCGAAAGGTCGAAATACCTAGATGCCTCTTTCCTGAGAACCTAGGCAAAATCAAAAGGGTTGAGCTGCATCATTTTTCTGATGCTAGCAGCAGTGGCTATGGACAATGCTCATACATTAGGTTTGTTACAGATGAACAAGTGCATTGTGCTCTAGTTATGGGTAAAGCCAGAGTGGCACCTATAAAAATAGTCACAATCCCGCGCCTCAAGCTCACTGCAGCTGCAGTTTCTGCTTTTGTTAGTAACTTTCTTAGAGCAGAGCTTGAGCGGAAAATCGACGAGGAGTTTTTCTGGACAGATTCTCAAGTGACTCTTGGGTACATAAAAAACGATGCTCGTCGCTTTCATGTGTTTGTTGCAAATCGAGTTCAAAAAATAAGAGACACTACAGACCCAAACCAATGGTTTTACATTAAAGCTGATCAAAATCCAGCTGACCACGCATCTAGAGGCCTCAAGGTGGCAGAGCTAATAAACTCAAACTGGCTCACTGGACCTAAATTCCTTTGGGAAAGAGAAATTATCACGAACCAACAATCTCCAGAACTTCTTGTTGGTGACCCAGAGGTAAAAGTTCTTAAAACAGATGCTATTGAGCAAGACAGGTTTCTTGAGAGGTTCATGAAATGCTCTGATTGGATCACAGCACTTAATGTGGTAGCAAGGATTAAAAGACTTGCAAAAAGAGACAAATCAGGAGCCATCAGTGTGAAAGAAAGACAAATGGCTGCTTCTGTACTCTTCCAGCTAGCACAGAAGGAAGCTTTTGAAGAGGAACTCAGATGGTTTAGTCAAAAAACAGCTAAACTACCAAAAGCCCATAAGATGTATCAACTGGATCCTATCCTTGTAGACAACTTGCTTAGAGTAGGAGGACGGTTGAGAAAGTCCTCAGCATCATTTGAACTGAAACATCCAGTAATCCTTCCTAAAGAAGGCATTGTCACTCAGCTTGTTCTTGACCACTACCACAAGAAAACACAGCACCAAGGCAGAGGCCAAACTCTGAACGAACTTAGAGCAAATGGTTATTGGATCATAGGTGCTAGTAAGGTAGTGTCCAAGCTCATTAAAGAATGCGTCATTTGTAGAAAGGTGCGTGGACCAACTGAAGAACAACGCATGGCTGATTTACCATGTGACAGAGTAAATCCTTCACCACCTTTCACCTACACTGGACTTGATGTGTTTGGCCCCTTCTATACGAAACAGGGTCGAAAAGAGTGTAAGAGATATGGCTTGATGTTTACTTGTTTAAGTTCTAGAGCTGTACACATTGAGATGTTGGAGGATCTCTCCACTGACGCATTTATAAATGCTTTAAGATGCTTCATAGCTATCAGGGGCACAGTGAGACAAATTCGTTCTGACCAAGGTACCAATTTTGTAGGGGGAAAGAACGAGTTCAAAAAGTGTCTGTTGGAGTTAGACAACGAGAGGATTTCTACTTATCTTGCTAAAAACCAATGTGATTTTCTGATGAATGTTCCCGAAGCTAGTCACAGGGGAGGCGTTTGGGAGCGCCAGATCCGAACAGTTAGGAACGTCATGAGCTCTGTCCTAGCACAAGCCACAGGAAGATTAGATGACACCTCCTTGAGAACTTTTTTCTATGAGGCCATGTCAATTTTGAACCAGCGTCCACTCACTACTAACACAATGAATGATCCCAAGAGTGCTGAGCCTTTGACGCCTAACCATTTGCTCACTATGAAAGAATCAGTACCACTTCCGCCTCCTGGTAGATTTGTCAGTGAAGATTTATATGCCAGAAAAAGGTGGCGGAGAGTGCAATATTTAACGGAACTGTTTTGGAGCAGGTGGCGCAAAGAATACTTGACTACCATTAGTTTGAGGCAACAATGGCACAACCCCAAAAGAAATGTTCAAGTTGGAGATGTAGTGATATTAAAGGAAGACAACATTCCAAGAAATGAATGGAAATTGGCAAAGGTAGTTGAAGCCAGTGAAGACGATGATGGTTTAGTGAGAAAGGTTAAGATCCAAGTAGGTCAAAGAGATTTAGGGAACAAAGGCGAACGTCTGAGACAACTATCTTTTCTGGAGAGACCTGTTCAAAAACTAGTGGTTTTGGTTAAAAGTGAGTCCTAAACTACAGTAAAGTACAAAATTTGATACAACATTAAAATGTGATATTTGAGTTTATCAAGTTACTGATTTCTGTGTGTTTCATAACAAAGGTTTATGGTTGATAGTTATTTTATTGAAAATTACAAGTTTTAAAGTTCTTTAATGTGTAGTGAATTTCAATCATTGTAATTTTGGTGGCAGTGTAGCTGTCGCAGTTAAATGTGGTTATTCATTGTCATTTGTTTGATTTAACTGTGGAAATATTTAATTTAATTTCTTTGTTGATTTGACGCCACCTGCTGGCTGGATTGAAATTTGACACTGGAAGGTGCGCGCGAGCGGAGCGAATGATTAACTGACACAAGCACGGAGAAGCGACCAGAAGAAGCTCACATCGGATAAAGAAAAGTGGACATGGACTGAAATTGCTTGTGAATATTAAGTGGAGAGGCGCACACGGTGTGTTTGTATATTTATCTGTATTGCATTAATATCTGAGTTATAAGTTTATGTTTCTAAAATTAATATTTGTGTTTATTGTTGTTCATTTCACCGTAGTTTTTCACGGTGTTTGCTGGTAACAAGAAGATAAAGAACCAGTTGAACATCAGTTGGAGCATGGCGTTTTATTCCACAAAAAACAAAATATCCTTCATGAGCAGCACCAACTGAAGGAATCTGCATAATTTTTTTCTACTGAGCTAGTTTATCAGAAAACTTAGGTTTGGATTTTCAGGGCAGACAGTGTATTGCCCTTATAAATGAACTGACAGATTATATTTCTGATGCTGTTTTTAATGAAAGTGTTCAGTCCCGGTTCGGACAGGCACACCTGCACTCGGATATGACCGGTATCAGAACCGGGATCCAGGAGCACTTCAGAGGCATCTTTCTCTGCGGGCAGAGCCATCTCAGGAAGGTCAGATGGGTGGCTTTAGCGGGTCTGCACATCATTCCCTCAGGAACCGAACATGACCGCTTATTATAGCAGCTACCCGACTTCAGGTACCGCGGCCAGAACCGGAGGCCCAGGTCGGTCCATGCGTACAGAACCGGGCACAGCGTGTGCACCCATAGCAGCTGTTGCAGCCGCCGCCGCAGCTTCCGGTTTGACTTCTGCTTCATGCCGAACTGTACCTCGAACTCCATGGCTTGAATCTCTTTGGGAATTGGTAGGGAGGGCTTTGGACCCGGCTCCGGTTCCTTCTCATAATGATCCTTTGGCGGGGAACCGCACATGAAGTCCGGGTCGAAGTGGCTGCCCAGAACCATTCTGAGCTCTGTCTCATTTAGGTCCTTCTCCTTCGGGTCCAGAAACGGATCCGGGTCCTCCTTCGGGACCTCCACGGGCAGAGAGTCGCTCGGAATCGGTCGGATGAGGTAGAAGTGTTGGCACGTGCCCTCCTGGATCCAGAAACGCAGGGAGAGGAGCAGCATCAGGACCTGCAGGAGACAGCAGGGGGGTTCCATCTCCTCCTCCGTCCGGTTCCGGCGGTCCAGTCAGGGCAGAACTTCACAGAAGTGCGAGCGCACAACTTTCCAGACCTCCTCAAAACGTTTCAGACAGAGACTCTGGATGAGAGGATACCGGTTCGGGAATCAGCTCCGGGCTTCTTGTCCCGCATGCTGCTGCTTCTGGACCTCCCGCCTGAGTGATGATCTGCTGAAGAGTGCACGGGCCCCGCGGGGGCGCGCGAAGCCTTTGCGTGTCCCTATTTCAGCTGTCAGCCATTCAAATATTGCAAATAATATAAAACACGCTTTTATGTCAACAGTTAGTTAAAATTTTACCTACGTTTAATTTTGAAGTTAGGACCTCCTGTTTTCTCTAGAGCAGGGGTGTCAAACTCATTTTAGCTCAGGGGCCACATTGAGGGAAATCTAGTCCCAAGTGGGCCCGACTGCTAAATTAAAAACAACTTCAGATTGTTTTCTTTGTTTTAATACAATCAATATAAACCAAGGCTGGAGCCTGAGGACAGTGTATCCAAAATAGTACAAGTACAACACCTGAAGTGTTCTTGAAAATTTGAAAAAAATAAAATAAAAAATAAAATAAAAAATCAATAAATTCAAAAAACATTCCTTAGTGATTCAAAGAGCTTACAGATCACATGGCTAGATCAGTTTCATGCAGCACTTGAAGTACATTTGACTCATTTTACTTTACATCTTTTAGCTTTCACCGGCACATCAATATCAGAAGTCACATCCTGAGTGGCAGCCAACTTCAGGATGTGATTCAAGTTATTGTGTGAGCCTTGAGCGCAGCTTTGTTTTATTTATACTCATTACAGAGGAAACTTGCTCACAAAGATAAGTTTATTTTCACTCTACATTGTAAAGTATGAAAATAAAGTTTACACAACCATCTTGGGGGCCGGATTTAACCCGCTTGCGGGCCGGATCCGGGCCGCGGGCCGCATATTTGACACCCCTGCTCTAGAGGCTTGGTGCATAGGCAGGGGGGCTGCCAGAGATTTTGGGCCCCATGAAAAAATATCAAGTTGGGTCCCCTGGGGGCTCGTCCATAGTGGGAGCTGGCGTTCCACCCTCCCAGATTGGAAGGGAAAAAAAACTTCATATTAGTGTTTCAGTTTTGCTTAATTATGTAGGTCTACATGCATTCTTACTTATTTACATATCATGTTCACCAGCTGTCTCTCATTAAACAGTGAATTTCCTTCAACAGAATTAGCAATATCACTGCTGGAAATGGGAAATGCACGTGCTGAAAGGTGTTAATCTCCTTACTCCCTTAAAATGTGTATTTATTCTAAAATTTTATTTGATGATAAAATTCAAATTTGGATGTCTAATTAAATTTCCATGTTGTGTCAAAGCTTTACATAACTACATTTTCAGCTGTCTTTCCTCTTGAAATCAAGTATTTCTGTATGATTGACAAAAATTAAGGATTCACTACTCACAAGGTGACTTCTTTATTAAGTTTCTATGGCTTCATCAGAGACACAAAATGAACTAGAAAAATTGCATTTATTGCACAAATGCTGTTTGAATGCTGGATAGCTGAAACTGTAAGCTGAAGCTGCTGAACAGCTGAACTGAAGCTGAAACAAAGCAAAACCGTCCAAATGAGCTGAATGTCTTGAAAGATGTAGAAGCAAAAAGCACCAACAAGCAAATAAAGCACAAAAAATAAGTGAAGAATAGAGAAAAATAATGATAAATAGCAAAAAACCAAACAAACAACAAAAAAAAAAAACTTAAATCTGTGAATATTGTATAAAAATCTGGAAAAGTTAAATGTCTAAATGTCAGACTGGTCGGCTGGATACGGGAGTTGAGCTTATAGAGAGCGTGGTCTCACAGACGCGGAAGTGATAGCGTCGGTGAAACGCCGGCTCACGGTTTAATCTAGGAATCCCCGAGCGTTCGAGCGTCAGTGAAGTGACACGGAAATGCTGGGTTTTCCAGAAGTAATTAAGAACACTTACTGTGAGCTGAGAGTTCATAAGATGGATCGGTTGCTTGGAAACTCTGATCATAGATCCAAAGAAACGATGACTGAGTTGTGAGCTGGGGAGGCGACTTCCGTATATAGTCACAGTTCGTGACGTAGGTGCGACGTGGAGGGAATCCCCGCGAGGGGCATGCTGGGAGTTGTGGTCCATGGTGGAGGTCGGCTGGCTGGGAGAGGCTGGTTTGGGGACTTGGGTCCTGACAGGACCCCCCCGTCCAGGGACGGCTTCTGAAGCCCAGGGCGGCCCCGGTGGCCCCAGAAGTCAGAGATAAGGGTAGAGTCCAGGATGGAGCAGGCCGGTTCCCAGGAGCGTTCTTCTGGGCCGTAGTCCGCCCAGTCCATGAGGTACTGCCATCCCCGACCCCTGCGACGGGCGTCTAGGACGCGTCGGACGGTGTAGACCGTCTCGTACCGGCAACCGCAGCCGGTACGAGACTGGGTTGATGACTTTCTGTATTGGGTAAGGCCCGAGGAACCGGGGAGCGAGTTTCTTGGATCCAGCACGGAAGCGGAGGTCCGCGGTGGACACCCAGACCTTATCCCCAGGGACATAGGAGGGACCAGGACGGTGTTGGCGGAGATGTTGGCGAGCGTAACGGGCATTAGCCCGGGTGATGGAAACTCGTGCTTTGATCCAGCCGTTCTTACAGCGCCTCACTAGGGATTGCGCAGCAGGTACAGCAACTTCGGGATCCTGGTGGGCGAAGACCGGGGGCTGATAGCCATAGCAGACCTCGAAAGGGGGTCAGCATAGCTCTATTAAATACTCGCTTTGTTAACAATAAGTCCTTCCTGCTCAATGATCTAATTCGCTCTAAAAACCTGGATTTTCTGTTTCTGACTGAAGTTTGGCAGCAAACATCTGATTATTCTGGTCTGATTGAACTCTGCCCGAGTGGTTATTCTTTTCTTAGCCAGCCCCGGGGTTCTGGTCGTGGTGGAGGCGTAGCTGTTGTTTTCAGAGACCATCTTCCATGTAGCTCTACAACCTCTGGTCACTTTGCTTCCTTTGAACTGCAGCTGATTAAAGTCGGGCGTAAGGACCCGTTCTACTGGTCCAAACAGTTCTTTCCTTCAGGAGTTTAGTGACTTTCTATCCTCCACTGTGAAGCTGTCCAGACTGGTGATTGTTGGTGACTTTAACATCCACGTTGATGATTCCTCTGATCACTTTGCCATGAATTTCTCCAGCCTTATGGACACCTTCGGCTTTACCCAGCATGTTTCTGGCTCCACACACACCAGGGGGCACACTCTAGACCTTGTTTTTACCCTGGGTCTAAATGCTGACAGTGTTTGTCCTGAGGACGTTTATATTTCAGATCACCATTGCATTTTCTTTAACTTGTCAGTTTCTGCATCCCCACCTCCTGCTCGCCATATGGTTAGTTCTTGTTTTCTCAATGAGAGCACAGCTAGCAATTTTTCTGCTGCTTTTGATCCACCCTGTTCTTCTGATAACGACCCAGATTCCTTAACTTCTCAGTTTAACGAACACTGCCTCTCCATTCTGGACAACATCTGTCCTGTCAGAACCAGATCAGTTCCTGCAGTGAACCCTACTCCCTGGTTTAATGACAGCCTTCGCAGCCTAAAGCGCCAATGCAGAAAAATTGAGCACTTGTGGAAGAAAACCCATCTCCACGTCCATCTGCTGCACCTAAAGGATCTTCTGACATCCTTTAGCTCTGTCACAGATGCAAGGGTTTCCTATTTTTCCAACCTGGTGTCCCAGAGCAAAGGGAATCCCAAGGTGCTGTTTAACACCATCAGCAGCATCGTCTCTCCTGCCTCTCCTACAGCCTCCATCCACTCTGTTGCAGACTGTGAGAACTTTCTGTCTTTCTTTGTGGACAAAGTCAATAAGGTTAGATCAAGCATCTCTCCTTTAGCCTTATCTCTGCCTCTCCCGACTCCAACCAGGTCCGTCACCCTAGATCGCTTTGCTCCTGTTTCTTTGCCTGAGTTAACCAAACTAGCTAACTCTATGAAGACCTCAGCATGCCCCCTCAACATCTTACCCTCATCTTTGTTTAAAAGTGCTTTTCAGTCCATCGGTCCCAGCGTGTTCTGCATAATTAAAGCTTCTCTGGTTTCTGGTCATGTTCCTGCTTTAAGAACGCTGTAATCCATCCGCTTCTTAAAAAACTGAGTCTTGACCCCTCTCTCCATAGCAGCTTCAGACCCATCTCCAAACTTCCGTTCATCTCCAAGATCTTGGAAAAGGTTGTGGCTAAACAACTCACAGCTGCTCTTGATCAGCATAACATCTATGATAGCTTCCAGTCAGGTTTTCGTACAGCTCATTCTATTGAAACAGCTCTTCTTAGGGTCTCTAATGACCTTCTGACTCACAGTGATGCAGGGGACTGTTCTGTTCTGGTCCTGCTGGACCTGACTGCAGCCTTTGACACTGTTGACCATCACCTGCTACTGGAGAGGCTGAGAGACTGGGTAGGCCTATCAGGATCTGCTCTGGAGTGGTTCTCCTCTTATCTCTCTGAGCGCTCCTTTTCTGTGGCCGTCTCCAAGTTTAGGTCCTCCACCACCTCTCTTACCCATGGTGTCCCACAAGGTTCTGTGCTGGGGCCTCTGCTCTTCCTCCTCTATCTGCTTCCTCTTCAGCACATCCTGAGCTCCTTCAAAGGAATCTCCTACCATATTTACGCAGATGACATCCAACTGTACATCTCCTTTAAGCCCCATGAGATGTCTAAGCTGCAGCTGTTACACTCCTGCTAAAACCTGGATGGCTGGGAGCTTTCTACAGCTGAATGAAAATAAGACTGAGATCCTCATCTGTGCCCCAGACAAGCTGGTTCCCAAAGTCAGAGACTCTCTTGGTCAGCTTGCTTCTCACACCAAACCCTCCGTCAGGAATCTTGGTGTGACCTGTGACCCAGCTCTCACCCTGGAATCTCATGTCAGTTCTCTTGTTCGCTCTTCCTTCTTCCATCTCAGGAACATTGCTAAGCTGAGTCCCATTCTGTACCGCTCTGAACTTGAGACAGTTATCCACACTTTCATCTCCTCACGCTTAGACTACTGTAACTCTCTTTTCACGTGTCTGAGCAAAACCTCCCTGAACCGTCTACAGGTGGTTCAGAATGCCTGTGCTCGGCTTCTGACCAAGTCCTCCAAACACACCCACATCACCCCGCTTCTCTTCCAGCTTCATTGGCTGCCAGTCAACTTCAGGGTTCATTTCAAGATCCTGGTTCTGGTCTATAGGGCCTTACATGGACAAGCACCTTCTTACATTGGTGATCTTCTTAGTCCCTACACCCCCAGCAGGTCCCTGAGGTCCAGTTATCAAAGCCTACTGGTTGTGCAGCACCAGGCTAAAGACCAAAGGTGACAGATCATTTGCTGCTGTGGCCCCCAGAGTCTGGAACTCTCTCCCCTTGAGCCTGAGATCAGTGGACTCAGTGGTCTCC